GGTTAGTGTGCATGATGTGCTCGACTCGGGAGAAGTTCCTGTGGTAAGAGCTGGAACATTGGAGGGACGCTGAATCCTCTCTGTGCAGGTGGGGGAGATAGCGGAAGTGTCGACGGCCTCAGGGGATGCTAAGGAAGCTATCAAGGAAGACTATTTGAGGGGTAATAACAGGGAAGGAAGGGTGCCATTTGCTTTGCTGACTAATGTGACTTTAGTAGTAGTCTTTTGTGCATCATAGTCGCTTCAAGCGACTCGGTGAAATTCATTAGATCGTAGCTTAGCCTAGTCGTGAGCGAAAATGACAGGAGAATGGTGAAGGAGGGAGATGTTCGTGGAGACGACTAAGGTCTTCAGGCTGCATCTCATGGCTGTCGCGAATGAAGTGTATGGAGTCCCGACGGAAATCGTCGGTGAGGATATCATCAGTTGAAATCAATCCAGACATGTTGGCTGTGCTCTTGGGGGGAGGAGATGAAGCGAAGGAGTAGGAATTAGCAAAATGCGGGTATATGCATGCAAGGTTCACTGTTGTGCTCATGATTTTGATAACTTCGTTGTTGCCAGGATAACGGTCTCATTGTGTTGAAGTTGTAAATGGGGAGTGTTCTCAGCGGGACTCATTCATCTCATGACTGCTCAATGCAATGAGGGTGCAGCTACTGTAGAGGAGGGGAAGGACACTTTGGTCGATCAGGAGCTGTTAACTAGTGATCCTGATGAGCTGAGGTGATGATGGTAGAAGGTGTTCACCTGTCGATACGGTTGTTCATGTGCAGGCAGCTGGCGAAGATCGCCCGGGAGAAGGGTCAAATTGATAGGGCATGTAACTTGCTTGGTGATGCCTGTGAGATTACTTGTAATAGAGAAGGAACGGATACGTGCAAGGCGATGGCGGCAGTACTCTTTGACTTTGGGTAGGGAGGGTATTCTTGGGACACCGTTTGGTGGGGATCTTGCGTCTTCCTCTCGTGATGTGGCCGAAAGAGAAATGATCCACTGAAATTTCCTACACTCGCCCATGCAGTGTTCATCCATGCTTGACTGACTTGATGGTACTGTATTTCAGGGATTGTTTGCTGGCGAAGGAAGAAGAGTCTTTGGACATCTTGAATGCTGATGGTGGGGAGAATGGCAGTGATATGGATAACGTGTTGGGGGGAGGTAGATGCTCACAGTGGAGCTTGAGGTGCAGTGGACTGTAGGGTCGTCAACGAAGAGTGCGATGGATCGACTGCAGGAGGCAGTTGATATGGTCAAAGCAACGAGGGAGAGAGAGCTTGCTACTGGCAAGGGGGCAGGTAGTTGTGGCCGCGAGTGACCGTGAAACGCTCGAAGGTATATTTAATAGATGAGGATGCCGAGTCGGATGTGGATGACCTTCAATTAGCTTGGGAGAATCTCGAGCAGTGCCGTAATTGCTTGCAGCTCTTCACGGAGGAGGAGATGCCGTGGGACCTCGCCAGGTGCATGGGGCTGGGCAAGTCCTGAGCACCACGCGCTAGCAATTAGGGACAAGCCCTGTGAATTTGGGAGACTGTACTGTAGCATGATCTTTTTTCGTATCAGACGCTGTCATAGCCGACTTGGGGACTTCCTGCAACTGCAGGAGCGGTATCCTCAGGCCTGCGAGGAATTCGAAAAAGTCATAGAGGCTGCACTCTGAACTTCGGTATCTCGTTATTTGTCAGGCTCTGGAAATCTGCAATAAATGTTGTCCACCTGTTGATGCGAGAGAAAGAGCTGTGGTGAGTATACCTTTGCCGTAGATGATTGGGATTCTTAATCCGAGTCTATCAAGAGGGTTTTGTGGGTAGATCCTGTTGAGGTTGGGTGAATGCCAGCGTCAAGAGGACAAGGAGAAGGGAAAGAAGACTCTGTTAGAGGCTAAAGCATTGCTCGAGGGTCATCAACAGCAGCATGACAAGAACGATGACGTGAGATTTCCGCATGTACAACATCATGGCATTTTCAGAACGGTGTGAACGTATATACTTGTCGAATTCGTTGAAAGTGTGGTCTGCTAGCGCTGATATCGTTATTAACACTCATGCCATTATTTTCATGGTAGATGTCGTCCTTGCTGTGTTCTTTAGATCCTTGTCGCTGTAAATGAAGCACTGGAAGATAATCGAGAGGAAGAGATGAATGATCAGGTGAAGGTCATTCAACAGATGATGTCATCTGTGTCACGGACATCTAATGGAGCATCATTTCCTCTCGGAGCTTCCACGTCGGCAAAGTTTGACAAAGCGACTCTGGGATCTACTTCTAAGGTGAGAGATGGCTCGCTCACGGTACACGAAAAGGGAAACGAGCCCCACGGTTGCGGTTCTAGCTCGGCCCATCGTTGATGAGTACGCGAGCATTCAGTGTTGTTTCAATGACCACCAGGGGAATGAATTTTCTCTAATGCTTGGTAGTCTCCGAAGAGGATATCACTGGCGTATCTCCGAAGCTTAACAAGTGTCTGAAGCCGTGAATGCTGCCGATTCGGCAGCGTTCACGGCTGCCACTCACGGCCGATTCGGCCGGTTCCGACGACGGGGCGCCCTTTCAGTGGCTATGTCTAGGTCAGCAATAGT